TATTAAAATGATAAAATTGCACTTCTGGTTACATAATTCAAGCTAGTTGAGGTAATGTAATACTAATTACAAACGTTTAAATCTATTATTATGCAATGAAGTTCTTTACAAACGTACTGATAACTATGTTAAGTTAATTTAGTTTCTTAATATCAAGGGAATTTCCAGAATAGCATATGGAGCATCTATAGACCATATTGACTGTCTCATCGAAAAGAAAATGTTTCCGAAAAGAAGATTTCGTAGTAATGTATGGTCCACATCCGTTCTGACCAAAAACGTCGGAGCAGCAAACGTTAGTCTTTTTTCGGAATCTCCCCCCCCCAGCTGCTGTGGGCAGATGATTTGGCAAAGATAAAAATGGATTACTTTTCGAAGAATTTTCCTCACAATAGAACATTTGAAGTAAACATTCAAATGCCTTGCTACTCCTCGTTTGCTGCTTGATCCAGTTGCATCATTCTTGGATGGGTTTACGATAGCAGTAGCAACTTTCTCTGCTATCTGATGTGAGACAGGCTTTCTTCCATTCCAGCCTTAACAAAAAATAATCCACTCTCCTCAGTATTTAATCATTTGTCTAACTTCAGGTAGTGATAAAGGGCCCGTACGAATGTTTTTTAAGCGCTTAAATTTATGTAAAACATCTGCTGTATTATATCGGTTAACTTAGAATAATTTAACAATTAAAGCATGATCAGAAAGAGTAAGACATATTTTTACGGTACATTTAAGCTTGCAATGCTTTCTCTATTGCTCTCCTCTGCAGACAAAAGGCAACTTATATAGGGGAGACCGGGGCAAGATCGGCATGTTAAGCTTTACTTAAATTTTGTGTAATAAATACTGCTGTAAACTGAAAAAAAAGCTTTGCATATTGTCTATTGGAATGTTACCTTACTATAGAACTGGTTAAAATCAGTTTNAGAAATTACAGTACTGTGTTCATCAAGTGGCAATAAGCCAACTTTAAAAATTAAAAAAATAAAATAAAATAAAATACAGTATTCACCTTTAATGCGAACAAAAATACAAGACAAATTTTTCATGTCTTTGTAATTTAAAAATAAGATTAAAGTGTTTTAGAAAAATATGAATATTTTAAATGCATGACTAATATAAGACAAGTTTTTATATGGTGATATTTTAAATGTATATATTTCAATAATCAAATTCATGCTGGAAACTAGATATATAAGCCTAATGGAATATTATATTTTTAGATATATGACTCATATTTTTACTTTGAAATCAATGTCAAATTAATTTTGGAGTAAAAATATGTCAAACGATGAACGTCATTTATGAAACTAATTTCATTAATATTAGTTAAATAAAATTATTTTCTTCAATTAAGCTCCTTATAAATGTTCTTTACAATGAATTTTATTGGTAATAAGAAGTTTTATTATTATTAAATATAATTATATTTAACTTTTTTAATGTAATATTACGCATGTTCGATTTGTGCAATAAACCGATTTCCTTAAAATTCCATTAATCATATTTAAAAAAGAAAAAAAATCTTATCTCCAAATCATTAAATCAGATTTATTGCCCTCCAAATGCTTTCATCGAACACAGGCATTTCATATTTATATTTTATAATCCTGTAAAGCAAACTTCACAGTCAAGTTTTTTGTACAGTATTGTTTGTATAAGTGAAAACAATTTATAATTACACTAGATATTATAAATAATCATTTATTTTTGTATAATTAAACATTATGTAATTTATCTCATTATATAAATTTCCTTAATTTAATGGAAGAAAAGTATGTCTGAATTAAGCGTTTTCTTACAATTAAACAAAAGCCAATTAAACAGTTATTCAATAGTGCAGAATTTAATGTGATGTATTGTTAGTTATTCATGTAAGAACAATAGTACATTTAGCATTATTTATCTAAATGTTGAGACTGAAAGCAACTATAAAGTCAATATAAATTTTTTTATAGAAAATTTAGTCTAAGTTTAGTCTAAACTTGAAAATAAAATATTGATTATCCTAATTAAGAAGCCCTTCATTATTGGACTAAACTTTGACGTAGAAAAAGAAATTTAGTTTAGAGCTAGCTTTGAATAAATTAACACGAAGTCTACAATCAACTAAAATTATCTAAGAATAAATGAAGATTAATATCATCAATCTTGTAGAATGATTTATTCTTCAACTTTAGTAATTCTTTCACTTTGAGAACTTTGAACTCTTATAAAATATCGAATATATTTCCGTTTCTGTTTAAATTTGTTTTACATTATTTTCTATTAATAATTTGTAATGTATGTTTTTATTAGAAGTTAGAAGTAATGACAATTTAGATTAGAATCTCTTAAATAGTTTAATCTCTTCATCTCGGATAAAAATTTCATTTTTAAATTGAAATTTTATTTTAATAACTTAAAAATATTTAAATATTTTATTTTACATTTTAATTAAAGCCGGAATTTAGTTTATGAAATATTGAAAAAAATTTTTAAATTATTTTTAAAATAATAAAAACAAATAATAAATTGTTATCATTATAATTAGATATATCTATAATCTAGATAGAATTTTTCGCATTAAATTCAATGCTTTTCTTTATTTGGTCTAAAAATACTCTGAAAGAAATGACATGCATCTATATTATAATTAAGTTTGCTTGAAAGAAAGTATAAAAACTTGATTACATGCATAAAAACACATAATTCTATTCAGATAACATTGAAAATTATTCCTAAGAAGGCATTCCTATACTATTGATATATATAATATAATCATATTCAAATAGCATTTACCTTGATATCTCTTTACTAAATGTTTTTATATTTGTTTCTATTTCCAAGTAAATTTTAATATCTAAACAATATAATTTCTTTTTATTTCTAATTTATGCATTAAAAGATTACATTTTTAATATTTCACAGATTTTTTTTCTACCCTACAGTTCTAAAACACAATTAAAATATAATTTTTTAAATAAAATTATAACTTTATAGGTTCCAAATGGGTTCAAGAATTATTCTCTATTATCTTCATTGAATATTTCATTTATTAAAATTGAATGTAGATAAGAATTTAAGCTATATTTATGTATTACAAACGTTATTATAATTAAAGTCCTATGAAAATTTTGAATTTTACATGAAATATATTACAGCAATAAGTATTTATTGCTATTATAATAAATTATAAATATATTTATTATTTTCTATACATTATTTATCAACTTAAAAGACTCAAATATTATTATTAATAATTTGAATCTGAAAGAAAACATTTCGATTTATATTTTATTGTATAAAAATAATAACAGGCAATACCATAAAAGAAATTAAGTTTTAATAATACTAATTAAAAACAATTCCTAATTTTTATTTAAATATTATAAGACAACAACAATAATAATAATGACCGTATAAAATTTTTAAGAATGAATCGATAAAATTTTGAGAAGTTGCCAAAGGGATAACAACCCTAGGTGAATGTGCAAATTTCTTATATAATTCCAGCTTTTCTGTCAATTAAAGCAACTATACAGTGAAGCGAAATTATCAGAAAAAAATAATTGTCTTTATTATTATTTTTTGCTCGTAAAGCTAACAAAGCATAGATATGTATTTAAGCAAACAAATAGAACATGTTACAATATAAATGAAGTGATACGTCAATAGTTTTGATACTCGTACGAAAGTATTATAAATAATACGAACACGTAATTTATTTGAATTTTTAAAATTTACATACGTGTGTACATAATTCATTCTCGCATATCACAAGTCATTCTTTAATAATTTCTCATTATCTCTTTTAATTAACTCTTTATAATACATTTGTGCAGTTATCCTCTCAACTATAACTCCTTAATTAATTTCTATACATGCTTAAATTAGGAATTTTTCTCGGCATCGTTTTATTTTAATATTTCCATTGTCTTACGTATCGATTCGAGTATAATGGTTTTTAAATAGGGTATGATCTCAATTACAAAGACCTATATTTTTTTGTCAAATAGACCATCATCTAGCTTGGTGCAATGAAGTGTTCCATTTCTGAGGGATGACCAATCACGTGAAAATGACCCAATAACTATTGTCTGCACCATTTAAAAATATCGATACTTAATTAAATATTGATCGAATTGGACAAATACAAGTTGTGGAATGTTTGCTTAATATTTACCATTATTCTAATTTATCAGTCGGCAGAAGATAAATTTGCAACAAATATTTATTGCTTAATTAATTACTTAAATAAATTAGCATTTGGACTTTTGACGCCGAATTGCTCCCTTTAAAATTCCTAAGAGCATAATTATCTTATCAAGATTTCCAAAACTGAATAAAGTATTCAATGATTTACCAATGCATATTTATAATTAGGTGATTAGTATATATTTTTCCCCCAGGGATAAAGGTTATTTTTTGCATTCTAAAATTAAGTTATTGTTCAGAATTTGTGCAATTCTCCTTCGGTGAAATCTGTTGAGACCGTCTGGTTCAGAAATAATCAATATTTCAAACATAAAGAAAAAAAATATCTTTCAACAAATACTGGAAAATTTATAGCTTTAGAAAATTGCAGAAATTATGCTATTCAGTAATGAACCTTTATACAAGAACATCGTCGAACCGTGAAAATGCAGAGATATTCTCATTCTCCTATCGGAAGGACGATTTTAAGTAATTATTTTTTAAAATTTATTTTTATAGTTAATATTAGAAATAAAACGTGTTTCTAAAATGCAGATTTTTTAGAAGTTTGGAAGAGTTTGACGAATTGTCTTTTATATGATTGTTAATTGGAAATGTTTGCATTGATCGTAGAATTACTGCACGAAAGCGTCCTTGTCGTGTCGAGTCCGAGGAGCTCTGGGAAATTTCCACTGTCGCTACGGAGACTGCTCAGTTGCGGATTTCCGGTTTTTCAGCCTTAAATGACGCAATCCAAGGCGCGCGCATACTTCAGCTGAGAGCAATGGTGACGTCACTTGCGCACTGAACTAATACGACATCCACTGAGAGGAACGAACATTAGTGTTCCTCGTGCCAGGGAAGGAAGCCCATCAGCTGATCCGGCAGCTTCGGACATCAACCCGAGACTTTATAGATCTCGCTTGTTTTTCCTTCAAGTTTCGTGACGGAGATATTCAGTAAAATATCAGAAGTCAAGTGCATGTCCCGATATGGCACCGAGACCAGAATTGGAGCGATCCACAGGAAATTTATGCACCGCAGACTCTATTGGGCATTCGACGCCCGTTACCTCACACAAAGGTGACATCAAAGATGGGACTGGATCGCCTCGCTCACTTAAGAGCGATTCGATCACCGTTACAGTCCCACCTGACGGCGGATGGGGTTGGGCAGTCCTTTTTGGCACCATGCTGGTCAATCTGGTGACCATCGGACATGTCAAATCCTTTGGGGTGTACTTCCCCAATCTCATGCAACATTTTTCTGCATCTCCTTCGCGCGTAGCATGGATCCAGGCGCTACAGATCTCCACCTGTACCTTTCTATGTAAGTGCTTTTTCTTTTCTATTGTCAAAATAATCAATATTTTGATTTTTCAGCCCGATTTTTACAGCATTTGCCATCTTCGTCCGATTGTCGTTTTCTAAATTACGTGTTATTCACCTAAAACTTTTTGCCTATTTAACACAGATATGTGAATAATCCCGATTGATTCCCGATTTTACATTATTTCTCCATGCAGAAGATATTATTCTCATCGGTCGGAGAACGGACGATAGATATCGATCATTGGCAAACCTTTCGACAACGAATGTCAGACAAGACTAATCGATCATTTCTTGCTCTTCTTTACCTGTTCTTAATAAAAAATATTACTCTAAATCTACTTATAATATATATTTATTTTTCTTTTATAGTAATTTTAATCTTTATTGAATATTTAAATAATAAAAATTAATGTATATATTTTAATAATAGAATAATAAAAAATAACTATAAATTTACTAATTAAAATAATTTAAATTAGCATTGCTTTTTGAAAAAAAAAAATGTACTGTATATATATATAAATTCCTCCACGGAATTGAAGGAAAAAATCTCTCAGCAAATTTGAGAATACCTTGGATACAGTGACGTCAGATTTTTCTTCCTCCTCTTCTCTACACGATGACGTCATCACGATTCAATAGTTAATCGCCTTTAGCGATTCTATAGTTACGCTAGTGTAGAATATTTTTTTTTTTTTTTAAATAAGAACAATATGTATTATCCGTTCTATTCTATAATATTTTTTCCGTCTATGGCCGTTCGGGTGAACAGTACGATGTTTCTTTACTCAGAAAACCCTCAATCGATTCAGCAGTAACTGACTATTCGACCTTCAGGATAAATAAACTGAAACTTGTTCTGTAACATTTCGTGTACTTAAAAGAACAGCATCATAAGGTGTATAACGGATTATGTATTATTTATAGAATAGTTCATTACAGTTCATTACCGCCATTTTTAACTGTATAATATGCCGAATTTAGGCTGTATATATTTATTCAATTATACTTATATATTCAATTATTATGCCCTTTTAATGTTTTTAATTATAACTATTTTATATATATATAATAGAAAGAAAGAAAATAGTTAATTTTTACGTCAAATAATAAATTGCAAATATTAAAATAAAATGATTTTATTGCTATTAGCGCTTAAGATAAAAAAAATTGTAGAAATATTTAAGGAGAGATTTTTAAAACTATTTCCAAATATGTTGCATCATTTCGTCATAAAAATAAAACCGGAAACGGTGTTGTTAAAACATATAATATGTTAAAATTGCCGACATGTTTATATTATATAAGTATTATTTACAAATCTCTTTAAAATGTAGATTTAGGTCAATTTTTGTCCATAAAGTGATTCAGAAAAAGTAGTATAATTTTAGCCATACTCCAACCGTGAATTATTACGGTGTTGAAATAATTAATTGCTTTTACCGACTATTGTTAAACATAAATATGCAGCAAAGTTGAAAAATAAAACGCGAAACGACCGAAATTAAAACAATTATTTGAGTGTAAGAAGTAGACTACATATAATTATAATTATTATTTTCAGCACCTGTGTCGAGTATTATGTCTCAAGTGATAGGACCGAGGAATGTAGCGTTGGTTGGAGGAATTTTAGCGTGTTTTGGTCTTACTGTATCATCTTTTGTTTCTAAATTAGGATATATATATGTTTTCTACGGAGTGATGCAAGGTAAGCATTACATTTACATATAAGAAAAATTCTATTTGTTTTGATATTATTATAAATAATAAATTTATTTTATATTTAAAATAATTAATCAAGTATTTCGATTTTTGATTAAATTAGGGGAAACTTTTTATTTACAAAAACCTTTCCCTTTAGTAGACAAAATCGAACATTAAATATACGAACGAAATTAATAAAATTGCTGCCGTTTAAATATTAAAATAATTAAATTAAACGAAAAAATACGCTGTAGAAAAAAATTAGTTTTGTAGACTTTCGAGGCCGCATTTTTTAATTAGTTTTAATATTTATATTTTAATACGAAAATTGAAGAAGATATTGTATCGCAGTTACCATAGATAGTTGCAAAGGCTCTTTCCACTGAAGAGATAAAATTTCTATTTTACAAGTTTCTGTCCGAAATTCTCATTGGTTCGTGAATAATTTTTTAACTAAAAGCATAATTATTCGTATAGTAAATTAATTGCTATAATGGAAACAATTTCGCGTATAGTAATATATATTTTACAATCTTATAACGTTTTTAATGAGATTGTAAAAAGAACGAGCGCATTTTTCATCAAATTAACATTTTCGACGTGATATTTTAATTAATTATTGACGTTTTTAAATTGAATTTTTATGAAAAAAGTGGAAATTGCCAAAGAAAACTTCGAATAAAGATACAGAAGAAGTTTTTTTTGTTAATAAATTTATAGTCATTAACTGTTAATTCAGTTAAGTGTCGATAAAACAAATTGGTTTTTTACAGTCTCTCTTCTGACTGATTTGATATTACCGCAAGGAAGATCCAAATTATCGATAGTTAAAATCGGCGGCCTTAAATAAACAAAAACTATGGATTATCCTCCAGACAGTTGTATGGCGAAACCTCGTCCAATTTAATATATTTTAATAGATTTAAGCGGGATCTTTGATGACATTAAATTTCACTTGTTAAATAGGGGTTAACGGTTGTTTTGCAAAAAAAATAATTAACGATTATTTTGTCTACCGAATGTGAAACAACGACCCTATTGATGCAGTTGTCATCGAATTGAATCCTTGATATACCTATAGGCCTCGATGATCTAAAGGTTGGAATGGACTGATTATTTTCAGGATTGGCTGCTACACTATCATTTACGCCTGGTGTGATGATGATTGGACAATATTTTGACAAAAGACGAGGTTTTGCGAATGGACTCGGAATGGCTGGAAATGCTCTTGGCGGAATCTTGATTCCGCTACTTGTCGATCGTCTCATAGCCATATACGGGGTGAATGGGGCTCTACTGATAATGGGCGGAGTAATCTTACATGCATGTGTTGGCGCCATGTTTTGGCAACCCGTCGAACAACATATGGTTAAGGTTAAAAGAGTGGCAGAATCTGTCGATAATGATAGCCTGTATCTTGACGTTGAAGAGGATGACGAAGACAGCAAACTCGAGCTACAGGAGAATCTTCCGTTTGATGGTAAATTTTTTGGAGCAAAGAGGTTGGTACACTTCTAATAAGTTATTTTATTAACATAATATTTTATATTTATATATTTATATTACAGTATTGTGTTTATTGTTATTATTGTTATTATTATTTAAGATAACATTATTGTTCAAAATAAAACAAAAAAAAAAAATTCAAAATTATATGAAAAATTTTTATAAAAACATTCCTAACAATAAAAAATATTTAAATGCATATATTCAGAAGTTATAAAAAGAGATTTGAGCAAATAACGCTCACAAATTTCGGATAGATACACGTATTCATCCGAAGAAGGAAATCGATATCAACCGCCTTCTAATAATTTCACGAAAGTAATTCAAGTTATTTTAAAATAAAAATTCCTTATATTTTCTAATGAAATTTCCATAGAAAACGGTTACTAACATCTGTAATTAATAGCCTAATAAAGTTGTGAATACAGACGAATATCACATCAATAATTTAGTTGGTATTAGCACATGTATCATGATTAGACCTAAATATTATTCTGACATGTTAATGCCATTGACTTATTTCTAAAGCAAATATTGGATGGCTTTTGTCATAGATAGCTAAATAGATTTTAGCAATATATTATCTCGAAAATAGGTCTTTCAAACTTTGCTATGATCGTCAAGCTTTTATAACTGATAGCACACGAACTGCTGCAGTTGAAAAATCTGAAACTTTGAAGAGAGTTAAAGTAGATTAACTTGATTTATCTTTTACAATATCTGAAACTCAAATACAACAATAAATTTTACATCAGCTATCATTTTAGAAATAGTTGAAATTTATAGATTATATAATAAGTTTATAACAATATTTGAAATATTTGTAATTTCAAGATACACCTGTCTATATTTAAACGTAATATAATACAATTCCAATAATCTGACTTTCAATGATTCAGCATTATTGATGTATATTGGTGTAAGAGTTTAAAAACTACGAGTGCCAATTAGCTGAAAGATAATTTATCTTTAAAAATATAATGTATTTATTATATTATTTATAGAAGAGTGATGAAAATGCAATTTTAACGTACAAAAAAAGAAAAAAAAATTGTACGCACAGTAACTTTTGTGGAACTGAATTGTGGCATTTCATATTTTTAGAAATTTAGAATAGTCAGAATTTTTAGGCTATTTTCTATTTGAATTTCAAATATTTTAGCACTTTTATCTAATAACGGCATTAAATTTAAATGAATTTTATGCAAGATATAATTTATACAAATTAACTTATAGAATTACATGATGATGTACTGTACAGTACAAGTAGTTGTAGCATATTTGACAATCAGACTACGGTTCTGATACTGCGGTGAATTATGAAAAATAACATTACTTACTTTTACGAAATATTAAATAATTACGTTATAAATAATAAATTCAACATAAGGAATAATTTTTCTAAAAGAATTTAAGTGATAAAGTTATTTTTTCATGTCGATGTATTTCGAGTCTCAGAGTGAAAATATCTTCTAATAGATTTTCTATTAATTTTACTTGAATTTGTTATATGATATGTATTTGTTATAATGTTTCCAGAATGTATGCTTTTATAAACAAGAAAAGTTTAAAATATTACGTTTATTTCAATGTCAGTGAAGCAGAGTTTTATTTTTATGCCTAATTTATTGGATTTGATGGGAGAAATGATTAAAATCATCTAAAAAAATCTTGTGACCAGCCTCTAAGAGTATGTGCAGTACATTGTGCAGATCTTTGCTTAGTCTTTAATAAAAATTCAATTCGTAAAGCTATATGGATTTTTATTTCTTTTTAAGCTTGCAAAAATCATTTGTTTAAAAATATTTGAATGTTGAATGTAAATAATATATCAAATCAAATTCTTGGATCAACTAAAAAAGTTTAATATTCATATTTGTCTAGCATCAAGAGTAAGTCTTTATGTAAAGAATGATAAAAATATATATAATTTTATTTTTTTTAAAGTAAACATTCGTAAAATGGATTCATCCAAACAATCGGGTTACTGTCTGCAAGCTTATTTCTTATCCGATTTAAAGATAGAGCCTATTTAGTCATGTTGGAAAGTTTATCCTCTTGGGGCGAGTTCGGAGATTTCCGTTTTTATCAAGCTACTTTAAAATATGACTCTAATGCATTTAAATATCCTCTTAGCATAAATATCTTCTTTGGATTTGATTTACAGTCCTGAAACTGAGAAATTTAAAGAACTAACTACTACGTCCCGCAACAATATTGCTTTTATTTCACGAATGACAATCATTTTTCATATTAAATTTTATCCGAATTAATATTGAAATTGCTAAGTACAAACAATAATAATAAAAATAATGATTCACCTAATTTCATCTAACTTCACTTAATCTTTATGATTATAAATCATAAAAAATTAGGTGAAGCTCATTCACCTAATTTAGAGTGTGATCACATTTAATGTAAGTTATATATCATAATTGTAGCATTATAATATGTTTAAAATTTATAATTTAGCGTTAAATTAAAGTATTTGTAGGATTTCTGCAATAAAAATGAAAAAGAAATTAAATAAATTTAGTTTTTTTCTAAAAAAATTGTCTGAATTATTTTATATATAACAAAGAAATCAATAAGACTAATTTCTACAGTTGTTTCTGTGAATTTTTCAACGATTAATATTAGTAAATATCACAGCTCCTAATTTAACGACACTTTCCCTTATAACTAATATATCTATACTTACATGAGTAAAACATAGAAGCATACATTTTATAAAATTATTACATTCTATTGAGATATAAAAACCATATTTATTTATTTCTCAATTCGTTTCTATGCAGTGATGAAGGTTCATTTGCAAGAAATATGCCATTGATCTAAAGAAACTGATGATGCAGCTAAGAAAATAATATTTTAAATTATATTAAATTTGCATATTTGTTGTAACTAATAGCATATTATTTATTTATTATTATATACTCAATACAACCATCCCCACTTAACGTCGTTTCGTTATGACATCATTGAGGAAAGATACAAATACATTTCTAATTATAATTGAAGACCTGAATAGATGAAGGTTGCAAAATCAAAGTTTTTATCGATTTGATGTTTAAGTTTGTGTGTCCAACTACGAAATAGTGTGTCCCGAAGAGTATTATAGCGTCGCTTAATTTCTCAGATCTCTGATGGTGGTATGAGACGAATACATTGCACCTTTGAATAATTGTATCATAACACCTTCATAAACGCGTGTCTTCAATTGTTGGCATTGAATTTTCTTTATAAACAATAAATTTGATTCTATGAAGTAAGAATTAAAAGCTGGTGCTTGCAAATACGGTCAAAAAGGAACCTTAAATTTTGTTTAAATCAATTAGCCTATAGTAAAATTAGGGTCGTTATACATCGTAATTTTCCAGAACCTGTCGACGACGTTAAGTGAGGACTTCCTGTGTTTTGTACGAAAATTATTCTAAAAATAAACTTGAGAGTTTTCAATGAAAAGATAAGAAACGTACAATCTGTTACGAAATATTACTACAGTATATAAGTCACATTACTTTTACGTCAATTTAGTAATTACAAATTACAATATTTATTTCATAATTAATTTAAACATTGAGAAACAGGTAATTAAAATTAAGTAATAAAGATAATGAGAAAATTTTAACGGACAAACGATCCTCCTTAAGATAAAGTAGTTACTTAATGAACCATAAGAAACTAATTCTATAACTTCGATAAAATTTAATTCTTTCAAATTAGATATGATTTATATAGACTAATATTAGCCTAAATCTTTTTTCTTTAATAATTTATGAATCGATGCCAATTTTTCATTTTTATATAAATATAAAAATATTTACCATTTGTAATGTATTTTATTCCATTTATTATTGTAGCAACTACATTTTCTACAAGTCAATTAAATACATCATTTCGTGGAAAGTAAAAATATAAATAAATGTTTTTACTTTTGTTGCTTCGGAAGCGTGTTTCTGGGTTAATAGGTTTATATCTTGAGATCCTGTACGTCACTTTGTAGTGCCAAATCTGCCGGAAACGCGTTTTCTGAATACGCATCATAGCCTTTGTTTACAAAAGAAATATTTTTACTAATAGATGTAATTATTAACCGAATAAAACTTCATTTCCCAGAATTTATTTATTCTTTATAAAATTTTAATTTTTGTGCATTCTGTTCCAACGTACATTTAAAGATTTATTTTGAATTTTACTTTTTACGACTTAATAGTTCTTGGAAAACACGGTCGTTAAGTGAATCGTCGTAAAGCGGGAATCTACTGTAAATGTACGTGCATACGTGCATATGCGTGTGTACATAATTACATAAATATCATGTATTATAAATTTAATTTTAATATTGATTATATTTTTATACAACAGTATAAGTAGATTATGTAAGCCTTATAAGATTAAACAGCCACAAATTACCTCTAAAATCCGATTTATATTCTCTTCTAATTTTATATAGTTATAGTTTTTTTCCTTCAATATTTAATCAGAAAGTGAATAGAATAGATTAATGTTAGTCTACAGTTTTTTCTTTATCAAAGTGAAATAAAAATTTTATTATGAGCGTTTATTATTTATCAAAGTTAAACGTATGAAATTTAGTGCAAAATCATCTTCGTAACTAGATTTAAATTGTAAATAATATTCTTATGTTAACGTAAATAACATTTACGTAACAGGAATGTTGAAAATTGAAAACTTTCAAGTTTTAAATTATGTAAATTATTTCTCCGAGTTGAATTATTTTAACAATGTAAAATTTATTATAAATATAACAGTAAAATTTTCTTAAGACGTTCTATTTGCATTTATAGTTATTTTTATATTTAAAAATTTCTGTATTTGTATGATTGTTTATTTTACGAATAAAATTTTTCTTTTAAATAGTTTTTAATAGTTAAAACTTACAAAATGTAAACATACAATTCAGTTAAATTTTAGCCTTATAATATTTTGAGAAATTTTGCTTAATTTTATTTATATTTTTATAAGTTTTCAATCGAATTCAATTATTAAAAAGTCCAAAAGATAGAGTAAATGTTTATTTAGTACGTAGAAATTGAAATTGTTGTATTGATAAAACTTTAATTCTAAGAAACAAATTTCATTATTCAAAACATCTTAAGTGAATTTTACTACAAATTTATAAAATGTTTATAGCAAAATATTAAATTATGTAAAATATTTAAAGCAAATCATTATTTTTACTTATCTTTCTTCCTGTTAGATCCACGTCCGTCGACGATCTCGCTATTCGTAAATTGGCGAGCCCGCGACCATGGGATTTTTATTCTCGACAGATATCCATGCCAGGCCAAACTGTAGACGACGTCACAGAAAATTTGATATATCCATCTATTTCAGATAGATATTCAACATTACTCAGCTCTCATAGCGCCGATACTATCCCCGATCTTCAGGAGATTAGAATGAGAAAACTTAGGACGGAATCAAAGGCTTCTTCGTTTCTTTATCTCAGTACATTTCATCTCGCTCCTTCATATGGAGCTTTATTAACAAGAGAAAGAATTGCCGAAGATTCAGAAACTACTACTCCGTGTCCGGATATAGATATTCAAGAGGAAATCGATGACAAGAATAACAATAATAACTGCGAAAAGAAACAAACTGTAGTGAAAAAGAAACGACGTCTTTCTATGCCTTGTTTTAGAAATATAGGCATAGATCTCTCTATACTTCACAATAGTGTATTCTATGTATTGATGGTATCAATTATGTGTCATTTATTAGGATATCCAGGTACACAAATGTTTTTACCATATAGAGCCACGACTTTGGGCTTGTCACAGCGTCAAGCAGCATCTTTATTGTCAATCTTGGCATTCACCGATCTTATAGGTAGGATTGGTTGCGCATGGTTGTCCGATTTCCACTGGTTTCCAAGAAAATATTGGTTCATTGTAGGAATCTTCATGTCTGGAGTATGCGCTTTTTCCATGCAGTTCACTTACGATTATTTATCATTGTGTGCCTGTTCCGCTGCATTTGGACTCGCATCTGGCGCATACGTTGGACTTATGGTAGCCTTGTTTGCCGATGCTTTTGGAGGAAAATTGGTAGCCCTAGCTTACAGCCTCGCTAATATGTTGTCCGGATTTGTCGCACTTGGAGGAACTCCACTCATGGGTAAATTAATATTTCTTATATTAAATTAATTAAACATTATAGTTTTCAAAAAGTTAAAAATGTATTTAAATTTGCATATGTTTATTTTTGTCTAAATAATTATATAAGTAAAGCATTTACATAAATGAAATTATTAGAATAAAAGCAGATTGTTCATATCGTTAAGAACAATTTCAATTTAAACCATCTGGTACTGAAATTTATTTATTTTAATTATATTAATAAATAGTTAAATTTCGAAAATTTGTTTATATTTTTCATATTTCATTATTATTTTTATAATTATTTTCACTAGGTTATGTACTAGAACAAACAGGAAGCTATAGCATTTGCCAGACAATTCTTGGATTATCTCAAATTCTTGGTGCTGCTGTTTGGGTCTTCGAACCATTTGCCGTTAGAAGAGAGAAAAGAAAGTCTATGGAACAAGAAAATGACGATTCTAAAGTGTAAATTGGAATGATAATATAATGCACTTGGTTCAAGACTGCAATGTTTGTCGATTAGGAATGTAGCTGATGTATTATAGATTAGTTATCGCTCATTATGTCTCCAAAAATATTTTCATTCATTTTGCCTAATAATAGTATATAGCATAAATGTTTCAATGTCATCTAGAGAGTAAAAAAATAATTATAATTTCAATCATTTTAAACACGCTTCTAAGAAGCAATGCAGTAGATAATGTACAGTGTGTCCTAAAAATCACTGCAAGCACTCTGGATCAGAAACCTAAGCTTATTATATCACTTAAGCATTATTTTTATTTTGTGGCTATCATATGAGAATATCGAGTTAGAATATATTATTTAAAAGAATTTATAGCTTAAGCACAATTAATTGTTGCATATAGATTAAATAATAAGGTGCATATAAAAGTTGTGCCAAGTTTGCATAATTATCCTAATAATCTTACGATCAACAAGGAACTTAAACTGACACATCTTTTTAAAAAATTATAATTTGTTTGTAATGAATATATGGAGTTTTGAGATAAAACTCCAATATGAATCAATTTTGTAGATACTTTAAATTTTGATAGAGGATATATATATTAAATTAAAATGAACGATGACAATATTTATTAATCGTAACAATTTTCATAATTACAATAAAGCAAATATTTAATTTGTAATGGTAAATATTCAACTATTGATTAATGTTGTCAGTACGAATACTGATAAATATATATATATATATTGTTAGATTTTGGAGAAATATCACAATAATGAGTTAATATAATTTGTAATAAAGTAAAATAATTTGTAGAAAACAATTTGTAATGAAAATTATAAATGATTTTTTGGTTCGTTCCCTTTTGCATTGTTAAAAGAGCTTCCTTAAATTTCAAGAATCCATGCTAAACGAACAAACTGATGCTAATAGCAATTTATATATTAAAGAGGGACCATATCGTGCCATACAGATATCATTGCTTTAGAAACTAATGTTTAAAACGATGTTTTAAGCAGTATTTAATAACTGTTCGCGGAAATCCTGTTGTCCAGGCCGTTCAGAATTAATGATTTCGCGGACACACTGTAGTGTAACACAGCGTTACGTTTCCAATGGAAACATATTTTCTAAGGAGATTTATCTCCTGTTTTGTTTATCCATGAATTTATTTCTGTTATTTTAAATCTAGAAAGCAAAGGGTTTTAGAATATCAGCGCCATCTTGGTGTCAAGATACTACCTGCACGTGTTCACAATCTTACACGGTGCCCTTACGAGCAGCAATTAACTGTTTTGCTTTGATGCAACGGTGGGAGAACGTACAATATATCCTGTGATATTTCAATATTTTTTTCTTCCTTTTTGTCTCTCAAGTGCATAGTATTGTTTCGTATTCATCCTCTGAAAGTTCTGGTTGCATTTGAAAGACTAGAATCGAATCCTAAAAAAAAAAAGATAAAGGAAAGTTGATTTCGCACGATATAAGATTGCTAGGATTTTAAATATTTGTAAACATATTTCATGAGGTTTGTTTATATTAATAATGAAAGCAGTGGATGTTGACCAAACAAATCCTTTGTAACTGTTTCTATATCAAAGCCGTTTGTATATGAAATATTTCATGATAGTTTTTTCCGATCCAGAAATCGCCAAGGTTGTTTGTCAACCCTTTGGCTTTGTATTCTCACAAATCTTGTATTGTATGATGTAAATATAGTTATGAATGAATGAATGACTATATACTGTATATAAATATATTGTCGCGGTATATTGTATGTGATATTACTGCTGAATAAACTCCTAGATTTTGTCTTTATATATTGTGTTAATGTTAAATTTCCACAATTTTTTAAAAGTTCATATTAAGTGGCATCTTGGTATAAACTAACATAGAAATGTCTACTAAAAATTTAGACTAGAGAGCTCTAATTACATTAAAATTGCGATAAAATTCAATAATATGTACAGTAGAACCTCGATTATCTGCCATAATTGGGGACTGGGGTTGGTCGGATAATTGAAAAGTCGGATAACCGAAAAGTATGAAAAAATCCATTATTAGTGTAGTATATTATTATATCCCATGTAATTAGTATATTAGTATATCGCTATTAACCTATTTTGCGTTGAATTTTCATCGATGTTAAGCCTAACAAAAATTTTTTAAAATAATAATCGTCGCTATTGTATCGTTAAAAATTAGAAAATTAAGCTTCGTTTAACTCCTTAAGCCCCAAGCCCAAGCCCCAAAAACGTCAATATTCTTACTAAATGTCATTTCGTATGTGCGTAAACTAATATATCGATATCTTGTTTTAAAAACTAGATGATCCTTTTGATCCTTTTTTAGAATTTTAATAATACACATTTTATTTATTTTAAAAATTTATAAGAAATACGAGGAAAAGCTCCAGCCTGTTCCGACTTTACAGGTGATTCACACATTCAAACAACACTTATCACAAAGAGGGGATTATTTTATTTTTACTTTCATCATACAATTATAAGTTACTATCATTATAGGTAACTTATAATTGGATGATGAAAGTAAGAATAAAATAATCCTTTCCTTATTATAAGTGTTATTTGAATGTGTGAATCACCTCTAAAGTGGGAACAGGCTGAGGCTTTTCTCGCAGTTTTTTATAAATCTTTATATAAAATTTCCGATTCCATTGAATAGATTTTTAATATTAATTTTATTACATTGTATTTAATTACATCTTTTCATTCTTTCGTAAAAATAAATATATTGAGAATAAATAATACACGTTATTTTATAAAACGTTTATCATAATACATTCAGTATAAAATATATATACACATACATACAAACAAATTTAAAGCATAAATTAAATAGAAACAGGCAATAAAAATCAATTTTTACAAATGATTTTAATTGATATTTATGCCATATAAATATAAAAACATTGAATTTATTTTGGCTGTTTTGCAAATTCTATAACGTTAAATTAAATAAAACATAATGAGAAATTAATAAGACTAATAGATTCTTATAGTTTTATGCTTTAATTAACAACTATTTAAATTTGCTATTAATTTATCTCTGTAATCAATAAATTAAATAAAATTACTTTAAGTAAATTTTTAATTTTTTAATGAAATATAAATAACTCCTGTTATTAAACTAAATATTGCACTGTGATATAATTTATATTTATTCCTTGACTTATAATATAATTATTAATTTTGCTTTAAGAAATATTCATAAATTTGTAAACTTTTGAAAACCTTTCTAAGAAAATGCAAATATAAATTTATTAATTATATTTTTTTAAAAATCTTATAATTTTTCAAGAATTATGAATTAATCTTGATATAGAGAATAGATTTATATATTTAAATTTGGAATAAAATTTTTAGTTATTTAAAATGAATAAATTATATTTTTTTTAATGTAATATTTGTTAAGATTGAATACTAAAATAATGAATTAATATGCGTTATTAAGCACAAAATTACTAAAATATTTAGGTAATTATTGATTAAAATTCTTAGTTAATAATAAATAATCTAAAAATTTTAAACTCTTCATTATGATAATTATAAACTTCATAAAATGTATTTTTGAAGTTAATTACGTTATCCAAAGTTAGTATTTTTAATGAAAATAATTTTAAATAATGCGTATAGTTATCATACACATCATTTAGCGTTATTATTATTATTAAAATAATAAATTTATATTTTACTACTATATTGTACTTCTATTAGTAAAATTATAAAGTTTGAATTACTTAAAATCCACTGCAATTATTTTATTCTAAAAAATGTGAGAAAATCATCATAGCATCAGTTAGTTGCTATGAAGCAGGTTCAACTTTTAGAATGATATTTTAATATTCGACAATCCAATTCTGTAAATTCATCATTACAGGTAACAAAAATAAATATATTACTATCTGGTAATAATCTATTATTGATTTATAAAATAAATTATATAATACTTTATTGTACTATTCAATACCAATAAACAGTTAAATAAATATCTGAAGACAAAGTTCTCCCAAAATTTACAAAAAACCAATAAACAGTACTACACACAATACTAATAAAGTATTGTATAGTTTCACATATTGAAGGAAACTACTGAACATTGTATTTACCTAAAGATAAAGAAGTTTGTGTTCAATACAATATAGTTTCTATCAAAGATTTGAAAATTATCTATTCTTCAGTTAATTTGAAATGGCCTTGAGAACGTCCAATTATCCAGATTCAATCAATATTTAACTTGAAAATGGATTCCTGACACATGACTCGGCTTATTATTATAAAGTTGAAAGGTCGATGTTGACATATTTGCGACTAGACATGTAACATAATGTTCACAACTCTAGTCAAATTTGTTTAACCTAGTTATAGTGAATTTAATAATTTTTTTAAAATAGATAATATTAATATTATGGGAGAAAGAAATTCGAGTTTTATTTTAAATTTTATCCAACTCCANCTATTTTGCGTTGAATTTTCATCGATGTTAAGCCTAACAAAAATTTTTTAAAATAATAATCGTCGCTATTGTATCGTTAAAAATTAGAAAATTAAGCTTCGTTTAACTCCTTAAGCCCCAAGCCCAAGCCCCAAAAACGTCAATATTCTTACTAAATGTCATTTCGTATGTGCGTAAACTAATATATCGATATCTTGTTTTAAAAACTAGATGATCCTTTTGATCCTTTTTTAGAATTTTAATAATACACATTTTATTTATTTTAAAAATTTATAAGAAATACGAGGAAAAGCTCCAGCCTGTTCCGACTTTACAGGTGATTCACACATTCAAACAACACTTATCACAAAGAGGGGATTATTTTATTTTTACTTTCATCATACAATTATAAGTTACTATCATTATAGGTAACTTATAATTGGATGATGAAAGTAAGAATAAAATAATCCTTTCCTTATTATAAGTGTTATTTGAATGTGTGAATCACCTCTAAAGTGGGAACAGGCTGAGGCTTTTCTCGCAGTTTTTTATAAATCTTTATATAAAATTTCCGATTCCATTGAATAGATTTTTAATATTAATTTTATTACATTGTATTTAATTACATCTTTTCATTCTTTCGTAAAAATAAATATATTGAGAATAAATAATACACGTTATTTTATAAAACGTTTATCATAATACATTCAGTATAAAATATATATACACATACATACAAACAAATTTAAAGCATAAATTAAATAGAAACAGGCAATAAAAATCAATTTTTACAAATGATTTTAATTGATATTTATGCCATATAAATATAAAAACATTGAATTTATTTTGGCTGTTTTGCAAATTCTATAACGTTAAATTAAATAAAACATAATGAGAAATTAATAAGACTAATAGATTCTTATAGTTTTATGCTTTAATTAACAACTATTTAAATTTGCTATTAATTTATCTCTGTAATCAATAAATTAAATAAAATTACTTTAAGTAAATTTTTAATTTTTTAATGAAATATAAATAACTCCTGTTATTAAACTAAATATTGCACTGTGATATAATTTATATTTATTCCTTGACTTATAATATAATTATTAATTTTGCTTTAAGAAATATTCATAAATTTGTAAACTTTTGAAAACCTTTCTAAGAAAATGCAAATATAAATTTATTAATTATATTGTTAGATTTTGGAGAAATATCACAATAATGAGTTAATATAATTTGTAATAAAGTAAAATAATTTGTAGAAAACAATTTGTAATGAAAATTATAAATGATTTTTTGGTTCGTTCCCTTTTGCATTGTTAAAAGAGCTTCCTTAAATTTCAAGAATCCATGCTAAACGAACAAACTGATGCTAATAGCAATTTATATATTAAAGAGGGACCATATCGTGCCATACAGATATCATTGCTTTAGAAACTAATGTTTAAAACGATGTTTTAAGCAGTATTTAATAACTGTTCGCGGAAATCCTGTTGTCCAGGCCGTTCAGAATTAATGATTTCGCGGACACACTGTAGTGTAACACAGCGTTACGTTTCCAATGGAAACATATTTTCTAAGGAGATTTATCTCCTGTTTTGTTTATCCATGAATTTATTTCTGTTATTTTAAATCTAGAAAGCAAAGGGTTTTAGAATATCAGCGCCATCTTGGTGTCAAGATACTACCTGCACGTGTTCACAATCTTACACGGTGCCCTTACGAGCAGCAATTAACTGTTTTGCTTTGATGCAACGGTGGGAGAACGTACAATATATCCTGTGATATTTCAATATTTTTTTCTTCCTTTTTGTCTCTCAAGTGCATAGTATTGTTTCGTATTCATCCTCTGAAAGTTCTGGTTGCATTTGAAAGACTAGAATCGAATCCTAAAAAAAAAAAGATAAAGGAAAGTTGATTTCGCACGATATAAGATTGCTAGGATTTTAAATATTTGTAAACATATTTCATGAGGTTTGTTTATATTAATAATGAAAGCAGTGGATGTTGACCAAACAAATCCTTTGTAACTGTTTCTATATCAAAGCCGTTTGTATATGAAATATTTCATGATAGTTT